ATACAAAGACTTAGCAGTCTTGTACTGGCCAAAGTGCGCGCGCTCAGTAGAAGGCAGGTGACTACGAACAGCAAGGCGAGCAATAGCGTCACGAGTGGTCCACTGCGAGCGAACCGTACTGTCAGCAGTGGCAGCAGGTGCAGGGGAGACACCGGACGTAAGATCGAAAAGGGATACTCCGTCCTTAGAGTCACACTGAAGAAAGAGCTGCAGGTCGTCAACCCACACGTCAAAGTCAACCGCACGCCCCTCAGCATCAAAGGTAAGAACATTAGGGCTAGCCATAGCGGCAGTAGCAGCAATAGCAGCAGTAGCAACATTGGCAGCAGAAGCAGCAGGAGCAACAGGAGCAGCGCGGGCAGGGCAGTGCGGCTCAGTAGGGCGACGCGGCTCGACAGGGCGGCGCGGCTCGGTAGGGCGGCGCGGCTCGGCTCGGCGGCGCGGCTCGGCTCCTGGCGGCGCGGCGCGTTAGGGCGGCGCGGGTGCTTACCAGGGGCAGGTGCAGGGCAGGGCCGCAGCTGACGGTTAGGTCAGGGCCGCGACTGGGCGGCAGCAGGGCAGGGCCGCTACTTGGCGGCGGTAGAGCAGGGCCGCGACTGGGGCGGCTGAAGGGCAGGGCCGCGACGCGTCGGCGGCAGCGCAGGGCTGCGACAGGGCGGCGGCAGGGCAGGGCTGCGGCTGGACGGCAGGGTAGGGCAGGGCCGCGACGGGCGGTTAGGGCAAGGCCGCGACGGGCCGTAAGGGCAGGGCCGCGACGGGCCGAGAAGGCAGGGCCGCGACGGGCGGCGAAGGCAGGGCCGCGACGGGCGGCGACGGGCCGCGACGGGCCGTTAGGGCAGGGCCGCGACGCGCCGTTAGGGCAGGGCCGCGACGGGCCGTTAGGGCAGGGCCGCGACGGGCTGTTAGGGCAGGGCCGCGACGGGCCGAGAAAACAGGGGGCCGCGATGGGCCGTTAGGGCAGGGCCGCGACGGGCCGAGAAGGCAGGGCCGCGACGGGCGGCACTAGGGCAGGGCGCGCAACGTCGCAGGTGAGGCAGGCGCGAGGCGCGCTTCGGGCAGGGCAGGAAAAAAAAGGTGTTTATCATGGTGGGCCCTAAAAAAAACCATTCCCACTAGGGAACCTGCTCAGAATACCATGTCAAAATAATGAAAGAAGTGAGGAGATTCACTCTACAATGGTGGTGAGCTAGACTACGGGGGTTGGAACGAACTACTAGGAGTGATCGTAGCTTTGCCTAGTTCCTTAGTGCTTGCACAATCACGGGAGAAATCGACAAGAGTTTCACTAGCAAAGTTGGAATTACAGAATTGTTAAACAAGCAATGACAACTATGACTACATCAGGGACCTAGCAACTCTGCAGCTAGCCTGGTCGACTGACAGCACAGCATGGTCGACCGTCTGCCAGTGTTGCGTGGAGGAGCCGTGCCAGCACTGCAGAAAAGCGACCTGCCAATGCAGAAGGTCGACGGTGTGCCAACGCTGCAGCAGAGCGACTGTCCAGCGTTGCCCCGTAGTAGACAGCAGTGCGCACGTTCGCAGATGCGCGCAGACGATTGGCCCGACTTGCACCGTTGTGTATCCGTCGGCTGTTGTCTGCGCCTGACGAGCCACATCGACTTCGGGATACCAACCCGAAGTCGCCTTCGCCATCGCGACCTCGACGACGTTTGCGTGCCTCCGCAGAACTCGCCGAGCAGGTTACCCGGTCGACCTGGACAACCCCAAGTGCCTCTGGTCGACCACCGGGCCCCTCTGGTCCATCACAGCTCCCGTCGAGCTACCCCCTGGTCGACGGACTCCTTCTGTCGACCAGAACTGTCAGCTGTTGTCGACAAGCTCCCCTCGTCGACCGCCGCTCACTTCTCAGGTCGACGGACTGCTCCGTCGTCATTCCGGTCGAACTGTTCCTCCTGGTCGACGGCACACCCGTCGCCCAGACCTGTCAGTTGCGGCTGTCGAGTTCCTTGGTCGACAGCAACAGCGGTCCTCTGCAGCTCGACGAAGCCTGTCAAGCAGCCCTTCTACTGTGAACGGTCGGCTGCTACTTCGGTACATCCGACCAAGTCGTCGGCGTTGCCCAAGCGAGGGCGGGGCCAACACTCCATTCCCATTAACAGGAAGGAATGACTGAACTAGCAAGCAGGTGGGTACAAGTAGGAAACCTAAAAGTGTTGTACCCTATATGAACTACCCCACTATAGCCTAGAAAGACTATAGCATATAAGTTTGACAACCACGCACGTCAACACCGCGTACAGCAGAAGCTGTTGTTCGCCCGTTACTGCTAACGGGGCTTCGACAACCTTCGCGCGCAATATTCACCAAACCGTGCACTGCTGGCCCGGCCGTGCCGGCTTACGCTTCGGGACTAGCCCAAACCTCGATGCCAGCATCGCACTAGCTAGCTCGTACGCACCGCGTTATTGTTGCATGTTTCGCACATAAGTATTCGCTCATGCCTTCGCTCATATTTTGTACTCGTTTGACAACCTAGTGAAAGCCTCGCTATCTCGTTCCATTGCACCCGTAAGAGTTGTCTCAAGTTATGTTTTCATAACGAAACCGACGTGGGTGGACCTTCACACGTTTCAGTTTTTTTGGAACTTCAACCACTGGTCGTGTGTACTGTACTACCTCGCGGAACATGGCAGACAAGCTGCTGACATACCTCCTTCCCGCCATCTCTCCGCCTTGGGTTCATCCGTCTTTGCGGTTGCGGTTGCGTGCGGGTTGCCCCATCATCTTGAATGGGCAGCTGATAATTTTACCGCTTTTACTAAGTATCCACTTTGGCTGACTCACCGGTGTGCTGTCTGCGGGTGCACTGAAGTTGGCGGAACCATTGTACACACGATGTTTGACAAACCCAAGGTTGCCTTGTGAAGGGGGCTTTTAAGTGATTCTGGGCATTTCACAAATTTAGTCAACGTCGCACCCAGCAAAAAAGGGCTTATAAAAAATTTGTAACTCCCCGTTGACAGTTTGACTTCAGTCTCTTCTGTTTGACTTCGGTTTCTGTGGTTCGTACTGGTTCATAACCACTGCAACTTGCTAGAGGGGCTTGTAATGTGGGTGCAACTGGCTGGTAAAATAAACACGGGTGCAGACTTTCCATCCTGGCAGGGCAAATTCACGCACAGGGGTTGAGCATCGTGTGTACTGTTGGCGAGTCCCAGAAATGTCTGACACGTGGAGAATTTTAGCCTCAAATGGTGAATGGCAGTTGCGGCTGGGGCATACTCACGTCCGAGCATAACCTAATATCAGGGCTGTGAGATAAAGCGTATCTGCCACCTACGATGCGACCACAAGCTCATTCCACATGGCATCTTCTGCTGCACTTACACCTGGACGCCACAGTGGACTTTGCCACACTGAGCGCCGAAAAGCGTAAAAGTGCGCCTAGGGTTTCGTGGCGGAAGGTACTGTATTTCACTGGCTTGTGCGCGCATTGCAGCTTCTTTTTCTATAAAGTTACGACCCACGTGAAAAGCTCTTCGTGGTTGGACCAGAGCCCAGATCTGGATAAGGGCGATTGGCTTGTCCCACCGTCGCAACAGCGATCCAGCACTGCGCGTAGAGGTACCTTTTTCGTCAGCAACTGCTCTTTTTCCTGACCGCCGCGTCAGCCATATTCCTTTCTTGTGCACGCGTTTACGCTGAAGGACTTGTTTCATCTCTGCCCCTCATTTCACGTTGGCTCTAGGAAGACAGCACCTCCTGGTTCCGCCAGCGCGGCAAGTTCGTGGTGCGGGTGGCGGAGACCGTGAGTGAGAGTTGGCGGGGAGCAACGCGTCGAATGACTGCTTCAGAGAGCTCCCCCCAATCTTGGAGCTGGATTCGCGCGCATAAGTTCCTCCAGCGGAACAGCAGAAGTGTGCTTTTCCGCACAGTTCACCAAGCCGTTATCCACTCTCCCCTGTCCAGGAAAATTGGCGATGCTTTTCCCCAACCTCTACCCAAAAGCAGAACACTGACTTTTTCGGGGGGGATGAAAGAATGGTTTGCGTCTAGGCCGGGTACATACTCATCGGTTACAATTCTCGTTAGCTTCGTGAGGTTTCTCGTTGCTAAGGAGAAAGGGTATTTTTCCTTCTCAAATTCGCGAACTCAAACAACTTTGTGTGGACTGAAGATCAGCCGAACATTTCAACACGAAAAGCTACCACGCCCCACGAGCTGTGAGGAGGTTGCAAGTCAGGCATCTCTGTGGCAAGAAGAGGCTTTCATTGATGAGGTTCTGAGAGCTCTAACAGTTGTTGCTCTCATTTCAACCACTAGCTCTGTAGATTGTGCTACCCAGATACCACTACCAAAGACTTGCGCCGACTCACAAGACAACCGTTAGCTTGGGATTTACCAGCTAGTTTCCTGTTATTCGCGTCGCTTAGGCTTTGTAGCTTGTAGAAATCGCTTTTGCGCTAAGTTTCGACGGTTAGTTTTCGCGTTTTAAGATGGATAGTACGTGCGAGTATTGCGAGAAGGGAAGAGCCACCGTATACTGCCGCGCCGATTCCGCTAGGCTGTGCCTTTCCTGTGATCGCGTCGTGCACTCCGCTAATAACCTGTCCTTGCGACATCAGCGAACTCTCCTGTGCGACGGCTGTAATCTCCAACCGGCAGCTTTTCGCTGCGTTGACGAAAACCTCTCTCTGTGCATCGCTTGCGATAGCGCAATTCACGGCAAGTTATCCTCCTCGCAATTACACAGACGCCATGCGTTCGAAAATTTCACGGGCTGCCCGTCCGCAGCGGATCTTGCTCAGCTCTGGGGCTGCGAGTTGGCGAAACCACCCCCGCCGTTGCTCCAAGTTCATCAGAAGCACTCTCGCCCCGCGTGCTCCACGTCAACAGGCGCCACGACGTCTCTCATCGCGTCGCACACGACCAGGCTGTCGCACGACGACGCGCTGCCGTCGCCAGATTCTGGCCGTGCGACGCGGTTAACCTCTGGCTCCGTGAAGAGCTTGCGACCGTTGGTAACGCCGGCGGCGACTATGAGTCTTACCAGCTCCGTGCAGCACCCGTCGCTTTCCAAGCCCGCTGCGCCGGAACCCAGCACCACCACGGTCTGCGCGTCCACTCCGCGGAAGCAGTGGGGGGCGGCGGGGCTAGGCGGATCGGCCGGAGCCCGCGGAGCGGCAGGAGGCGGCGTAGCGGCGGGAGCAACGAGCGGTGCGGGGAGGGCGGTGTCGGCCAGACGAGCGATGTCGAGCACATCGGTGGGTTTGCCACCGGTGAGCACCGTTGCGACGTCGATGCCGGCGGGAGATGCGGATATGATGGACGCGGTGCTGCAGCGGAGCATGTCGCACGGCTTCGCAGGAGCTGTCGCGCAGGGCGACGCGTCGCAGTCATTGTTCCCGGAGTCTGCACGTAGAGCGAGCGCCGCGCATCCGGCGGAAAGTCCGAGAACAGGCAAGGTGAGGTCTGGTTTATGCGTGTCGGCGGTCAATAGATTGTTTACAGAATTCGCGTCCTACCTTGAAGTCGGTTTAGTGCCAGTCGTCATATAACAACCCGTGTCATCCGTCAACCTCTGTCCGTGTTGCCGCTACTGCATGTTTCAACAGCCGTCCGGCCAGCAGCACCGGCCCTCCGCGTGTGCCCCCGGAATGACATCGCCCGCGCCCTCTTCCTTCTCCGCGCAAAGAGCGCCCCCCTGCCCGCCGCGCATGTCTCCGCCGGCCTATTCCGCCGGCGCTCTTCCCAGTACCGCCACCGACCCGGGCCCGTTTCATCCACAGCCGCCGCAGCAGCAGCAGCCGCAGCAGCTGAACCAGATGCCGCCTCCGCATTTCCCGGCGGACTTCGGTTTTGCGGGGCAGCAGGGCGTGCAGGCTGGCGCGCAGGCAGGCGCGCAGGAGTCCGGTTTCGGCGCGCTGCAAAAGGCGGAGATGGAGAGGCAAGCGGAGCTCGCGCAAGGCAATCGCTACTTCTTTTCCGGCGGGCAGCTCTCTGCTTCGCACCCGAATCTGGGCCTTCTCCAATCCATTCCCGGACGGTCCATGACTCACCCGAGCCCCGGCTCGAGCTTCGGTCCAGGCATGGGACAAGAGGAGAGGATGCCGAGCCAGCGTGTGGACTTGGAGATGGGTCTGATGTTCGGTGTTGGCGAGCAGCAGCAGCAGCAGCAGCAGCTACAGCTACAGCAGGAGCTACATCAGCGGCTGCAGCAGCAGCGGCTACAGCTGCAAGAGCAGCAGGCGAAGGAGATGCAGGCGCACGCTCATGCCATGAACGCCGCCGCTCATGCCGCACAGGCCGCGCAGGTAGCGCGTGCTGCGCAGGTTTTTCAGCAACAGCAGCATCAGCACCAGCAGCAACAGCAACAACAGTGGCAGCAGCAGCAGGAGCAGCAGCAGCAATGGCAGCAGCAGCAGCAGCAGGAGCAGCATTGGCTGCAGCAACAGAAGCAGCAACAGCAGCAACAGCAGCTGCAGCAGCAATGGCAGCAGCAACAGCAACAACAGCAACAACAGCAGCAGCAGGAGCAGAATCAACGCTCGCAGCAGCAGCAAGAGCAACAGCAGCAATCGCAGCAGCAGCAATGGCAGATGCTACAGCAGCAGCAGCAGCAGCAGCAGCAGCAGCAGTGGCTGCGCGCGCAGGGGCAGCAGCTGTCCGCACTGGAGACATCAGAGGGGAAGTGGCTGCTAACGGAGAAGGCAATAACGAAGCAGCAGGAAGAGCAGCAGGTGCTGCAGGAGGAGCAGCAGGTGGAGGAGCAGGAGCGGCTGACGCTGCTGCAGGAGCAGCAGCAGCAGATGCTGACGCTGCGGCACAGGCAGCAGCAGGAGCTGTTGCTGTCACAGCAGAAGGTGGAGCACGAGCGGCAGCGCACGCGGCAGCAGCAGGAGATGGAGCTGGTGTGGCAGCGGCAGATGCACTTGGACCAGCACGACCACGCCAACCAGCAGCAGCACCACCAGCAGCAGGAGCAGCAGGAGCAGCAGCAGCGGCAGGTGGTGCAGGGCGCGTGTGGGTCGAGCCCTCTGCTTCCACCCGTTCGCGTCAACCCCAAGGACGCCAAGGGGCTCAAGAGTCCCGTCATTGAGGACGGCTCCCTGACAGCATCGGCAGGCACTGCGGCACCTACACCTAACCTGGTTGCAGCAGGGATCCCCAACGCCGTGGTGGCTGCGCTCGCCGCTGCACCGTCCGCGTTTCTCACGTCGCCGCGCCTCGCCTGCAAGCGCGGCCTTACCATCGCCTCCGCCGCCTCCCCCCTCGTCTCTCCGCGCCACAAGCACGCGCGCAGCTCCGCGTGGCCCCTGCCTGTATCCCTACCTGTGTCTGCGCCGGCGGGTTCCGCGCAGGCGTCGCCTGTGAGGATTGCGGAGGAGCAGGGGGGTGAGGAGGGGCGGCGCGAGTCGTGGTCGCCTGTGGTGATGAGGGACCTGGGCGCGGAGCAGGCGGAGCAAGCGGAGCAGGGGGAAGAGGCGGAGCAGGAGAAATGGACAATCGAGGACGGGAAGAGCCTTGGGAGGAGGGTGGAAGATAAGGGCGGAGGAGCCGGTGGCACTGGCGATGGCTGTGGCAAGGCGCATGACGCTGCTGTGATCAACAGCCCGGCGAATAAGAGCAACGCCTACACCTCCCCAGGTCTCGGCCAGAGCACTGTGACTGTAGAAGGCGTAACTGTAGACCGCGTCTCAGCATTCCCGTCTCCTCCCACACCAAGCACAGCCCATGCCCCCCCTCTACCCTCCGCTCCGCAATCCGCACCCCCCTCCGCCACCCCCTTCCCGCCCTTCTGCACGCCCCCCGCACTCCCCCCAGCTCCCCTGCACGCGCCCCTTTCCCGCGCGCCTGCGAGTCCGAGCGTCTTCCTTCCCGTCCCCCCGCCCGGCAGCCCCTTCTCCCCGGCTATGGCTGCCATCGCCGCCACGCTCAGAGCTGCTCGCCTGCCCGCCCCGCCCCGTTCCGCCCCTGCCTCCGCTGCGTCCGCCGCTCCCACTCCTCCCGTCGCTCCTGCTGCACTGATTCCTTCTGCCGGCGCGTCTGCTGGAGGCGCCGCGGCTGGTGCTCTAGCGGGCGTGGGCGTGGGCATGGGCGCGCCTGCAGGTGCAGGCCCTGCCAGCCTGGGTCTGCGCCCCTCTCCGCCCCTCAAGGTCCTATTTTTCGCCTCTTCCGCTGCCGCCGCTGCAGCAGCTGCTGCTGCTGGTAGTGGTGGCAAGACCGCTGCTCCTGCGGCTGGCAGTGGTGCTAGTGGCGCTTCGGGTGCTGCTGGTGCTGCTGGTTGCGCCAGTGGCAGGGCGTGCGGTGCTGCTCTGTGCCCTGCGGACAGTGCCTGTCCCTCCAGCTCCTCCCCTGCCTCCGCCAGGGCTTCCCTCCGCTCTGCTGCTGGCGACTCAGTGGAAACAGGAGAGGCAGTGGGAACAGTGGAGAACCAGAGGAGTGGCAAGGCAGGGGAGGACAGGGTTCCAGAGAGAAAAGCCGATAAGAAACTGCTCGTTTCGCGCATCGGCGATGCGATTTTCGCCGAGGCAGAGAGGAACCTGGAGAGGGAGAGGGAGATGGGGGCGGAGGAGGGCTCAGAAGAGGAGGTGCGGGTGGGGAGCGCGGGGATGGACATGGGGCTGGGGATGATGGGCATGGGCATGGATATGGGCATGGAGATGGGCATGGACATGGGCATGGGTATGTCGATGTCGTCTTGCGAGGACATCTTCTCGTTTGGCGAGAACAACAGCGAGTTTGGCGGGCAGCTGGGGAGGGACGCGGACGAGGAGGTGGTGAGGGAGGAGGAGGGGGGAGAGCAGGAGGAGCGGGAGGAGCGGGAGGAGCGGGAGGAGCGGGAGGAGCGGGAGGAGCGGGAGGAGCGGGAGGATGAAGAGGAACAGGATGTGGAGGATGCTATCGCCATGGGTGCTGCTGGCATGAGGGATACTAGCTTGGGTGCCGGTAACATTTCTGCCCAGCCCCTGGGGGGCATGGCAGCAGCAGGCACGCTCATGGAGCCACTGGATCAGGACACTGCTGACTGGCTCGCCGCCCGCCCGCCGTCCTCCATGGCTGGCATGAACCGTCTGCTAGCGAGGGTGCTGGGGGAGGCGGGCGGCAGCGCAGCAGGCATGGATGGCAGTGCATCGCCCACCACGTGTGCTCTGCTGGAGCGCAGATTAGGCTCTGCACTGACAGCACCCAACGCCAATGGCCCGAGTGATCTCACCACCCCTGCCACTCTTTTCGGTGCTGCTGCTGCTGCAGACGCCTCTGGTCGCGCGCCTTGGAGGAACGGAGCAGTGTGGAACAATGCTGCTATCCGAACCTTGTCTACAGCTTCGGCGTCCAGCTCCTTGGCAGGTGCGGCGGGAGGAGCGGGTGGGGCGGCGGGGGAGGCGGGGCAGGAGGAGAGGGAGATGGCGCTGTTCCAGGCGCTGGAGGGGCAGATGATGCGCGATGGGCGCAGCAGCAGAGGCGCTGCCACCCCAGACGCACATGCAGGTGGGGGTAGCAGCGTGGGTGATGCCACGGGCATGGCAGCGCTTGTGGGTGCAGAAATGGCGGCAACTGCTGCAGCTGCTGCTGCTGCGGCGGCGGGGGCGCCAGTGCAGGTGAAATCAGAAGCATTTGCTGGCGCTGAGAGAGCCGGTCCCAGCAGTGCTGCTGCGCTGTTCGGTGGTGGTGCCATGCACCCTGCTGGCCCCATGAGCATGGCGCATGCCCTCCATGCCCTCAACACTGCCAACTCAGCCAATGGGAACCCAGTCAACACAGTCAACTCAGTCAACGCAGTCAACGGGAGCTCAATGGCCGGAGTCAACACGGTCAACGGGTTTCTTGCGGACCCCTGGCTGTGCCGGGCGAGGAGCATGCAGGGAGCGGGCGGCGGGGTGATGGGCGGGCCAATGACAGGAGGCACGGTGCTATCAGCCATGGTGGCGGTGTCAGCAGCAGCAGCCAGGGACGAGGCAGTCATGAGATACATGGAGAAGAAGAAGCACCGCACGTCAGTATCCCCACTCTTCTCTTCCCTGCCCTGCCCTGTTCTTCCCTTCCATGCTCTGCCCTGCCCTGCCCTGCCCTGCCCTGTTCTTCCCCGTTCTTCCCTGTTCTTCCGCATGACCTCCTTCGTTGCCTCACTTGGCTGCTGATTCGTTTTCGGTTTCCGTGTGAACACCACAGGTCTTGGGTGCCATCCCTGTTCTCTTCACCCTTGAGCTCTGCGTCTGACCCTCCTGTTTCTCCATCCACCTGTCCTCATTGCTACAGGTTTGCCAAGAAGATTCGGTACGAGTCACGCAAGACACGCGCGGACGGGAGGCAGCGGGTGAAAGGCAGGTTTGTGAAGACTCCTGACGGCGCTGAAGCAACCTGTTCCTGAAACAGACTTGAAAGGGGAGGCTCTCTTAGCTTGTGTTTGTTTTTTTTCCCTTTTTTTGGGCAACCACTTCGACCCGATTAGCTTCTAATTCCAGAACGGCATCTATAAGGCTGATTACTAGCTGAATATATATGCTTTAGTGCTTTGTTAATCATACTATTTGTGTGTTGTACACATTACTCTGCAAATGCTACTTCTCGTGTGTATATTAGTTCGGGGTTTACTACAATGTGCTTCAACAGTAACGAAAAGCGAAGTGATGTAACACGGATCTGGAACGACACAGCACACCATCGCGATCCATGCATTGAACGGTCTAGATCGCAAATCCCACGGCACTGTGAAAAAGGTACTTTCATTCATGACCTCTTTTCTGGTCATCCGCTGCATCCGCCACCTCCTAAAATTCTCAGGATTGAGTACTTTTTCAAGCATGTAGGGAGAGCTCCTCTCGGCCGTAGGATGTCGCGAGACGTAGGTGACGAAGTGTTGGCGAAAGAGTTACAGAAGCTGATTCTCGAGGTGTCGCTAGTGCAGCTGCGAGAGCACCCACCGGCCGTGCGACAAAGGCTATTTGGAATCCCAACGGGTAAAAACCACGCGGAGGAGATCGCGGAAGCTGAGAGAGAAGTGGCGAAACTGATCGCTGCGATCGACGGTGTAGATGCGACGATGGAGACAGAGTCGCCGTTGGATGATGCCAAAAGGGCAGATGACGCCATGGGTGAAGGTAGCCAGGCGACAGATTCACGTGCGACAGATTCACATGCGACAGATTCAGTCGCATCGCCGTCGCCGGCTCAATCACCGGCGGGATCCGCGCAACCCAGCACGCCTGCGAGTGCGAAAGGAGCTTCCGCGGCCGCAAATACCCCCTCGCCCGGTGCACACACCCCCTCGCGCGCTGCCCTGACCCCCTCACCCTCCTCCACGTGGCTACCGTTCGGGGGGATTCTGGGCGCGTGGATGTCGCCCACCTCCCCGCCCCCCGACGCAGATGCGGCCCCCGCTTCCCTGCCCCCCGATGCGGAGGCGCAAAGCAAGGCGGGCGATGCGGATAATGCAGCGCGCGGGTCCGTTGGGGAAGAGGAATCGCCGGCGTCGCCTGGAGCGACTCCGGCGTCGCAAGAATCGCAGGCTCTGGCGATTGGTCCTGCGACTGAACCTGCGATCGGGGCGACGTCCGGAGGGCCTGACTTGGGGGTTAGTGCAGCGGCGGGGACACGTGGCGGATTTGAATTGGAAGATCCGACCGCAGCAGCAGGCGTGAAGGAGGAGGGAAGCAGATTGGAGAAGGTAGATGAGAGGGACGAAGACAGTTCCCCTCCTGCTGCTGCCGCTTCTCCGCCTCGATCTGCTGCCGCCACACGCACTGCTATTGCCGTAACGGCAGAGCAGCTGCAGGCGGCAGAGCAGCTACAGGCGGCAGAGCAGCTACAGGCGGCAGAGCAGCTACAGGCGGCAGAGCAGCTACAGGCGGAGGTGGTGGAGGCGGCTGTAGCGCAGGCGGCTGCCAGCTGGCATGCCACGTGGACGCAAAAAGGAGAGCAGAGAGGGGAGGTGCGGATGAGAGGGGAGCGGGAGGAGGAAGGGGTGGATCTGGGAGACGAGGCAGTGGTAGCAGCAGCAGCGGCGTCACTGCAGCAGCATGTGCTGGCGATCGCCCTGGAGCAAGCTGTAGCGGCTGTAGCAGCTTCAGCAGCAGGGGAAGCTTCATCTGTAGCGGCTGTAGCTGATCGTGGCGATGAGTGCAAGATGGGGGACGATCTGGTGGACACAGTCGTGCACGTGGCCCTCCAACAGGCCGCTGCGGCTGTAGCGCCGGGGGCTGTAGCGGCGGCTGTAGCTGAGGAGAGGGAGGAGTGGGCGGCGAAGGGCGATCTGGTGCAGGCAGTGCTGCAGACGGCACTGGAGCTGGTGGAAGGAGACTGGCGCGGACTGCAGGAGAGGAGTGCGGGAGAGCGGCGAGAGCTGCTGGGTCGACTGGCTGCTGCAGAGCAGGCGGTGAGAGCAGAGGCAGCTGGTAGGGCTGTGGCGGAAGAGGCTAGGAGGGCGAGAGAGAGGGAGGGTACGGCTGTAGCGGCGGCTGTAGCTGAGGAGAGGGAGGAGTGGGCGGCGAAGGGCGATCTGGTGGAGGCGGTGCTGCAGACGGCGCTCCAACAGGCTGCTGACACGTGGCATGGGCGGGAGAGGGAGCTGCGATGGCAGGTGCTAGAGCAGCAGCAGCAGCAGGGGGAGCTGAGACGAGCTGAGGAGAAGGAAGAGGGGGAGCGGAGAGAGGCAGAAGGCAGGATGGGTGGGGAAGTGATGGTGGAAGTGATGGGGGTGGCGATGCAGCAGGCAGAGGAGGAGTGGCAGGCGCGTGTGGCTGCTGCCGAGGCCAACGCTGCTGCTCTGGAGAGGAGAGCAGCAGCAGCAGAGGCGCTGGTGGTGCAAGTGGGAGAGAGGGCAGATGCGGCAGAGGCGAGGGCGGAAGCTGCGGAGGCGGGGAGGAGTGAGGCGGAGGAGAGGGTGAGAGCTGCGGAGGTGGGGAAGGGCGAGGCGGAGGCGAGGGCGGAAGTAGCGGAGGCAGGGGCAGTGGAGCAGCAGCAGGAGCGCACAGCAGAGGCGGCTGAGCTGTGGGGCGAGCTGTCTGATAGGGAAGCAGTGTGGGCCGCTGAGAGAACACAGCTGGAGGAACGGGTGAGAGCAGAGGAGGAGCGGGCGAGAGAGGCAGTGGAGCGGGTGAGGGCATTGGAAGAGGAGGTGGAGCAGCTGCGGAGGACAGTTGAAGCGGTGGAGGGAGAGAGGGACTCGCGGAAGGAGGAGGAGGGGCAGCAGGAAAAGCTGCTGGAGCAGCTGAGAGCGGCGGAGAGACAGGTGGTGGATGACGCTGCCAGGCTGGCAGCTTGCGACGCTCTGATTGGCCGGCTGGAAGGGGAGGTGTGGGAGAAGGAGCGGCGGGTGGGGGAGTTGGAGGGTGAGGTGGCGGCGGTTCATCAGGAGCTGTTTAGTGAGCGGTGTATCTCGAGTGGGCGGGAGCAGCGGTGCAGTGCGGTTAAGGGTGAGTTGGAAGAGGTGAAGCGCGCTTGTGACAGACGGATTGCTGAGCTGGAAGCTGACGTGGCGGAACGGAGGGAGGTGGAGGAGGGGTTGAGAGAGAGGGTGCGCGCGCTAGAGGGGGTGAAAGGGGGGAGAGGGGGGCGGGGAAGGCCGGAGATAGGGGGGGAGAGAGGAGGATCGGGAGGAAGGGGGAGAGGAGGGAATGCAGGTACTGGTTCAGGGGAGTCGGTGGGAGGGGAGGGAGAGAGAGGGGAGGAGGAGGAGGAAGGGGAGGAGGTGGAGAGCAGGAGAGAGGAGCAGGGCAGGGCGAGGGTGGGTGTGGGCGTGAGCGGATTCAGATGGGGGGGAGGGGCGGGACCAGAGGCACGGGCAGGGCTGTCAATGTTGTTGGATGAGGAGGAGTCAGGGCGGGGGCAGCAGTCAGGGCAGTTTGCAGGGCGCGCGTTTGTGGTGCGCCCGGGCAGCACTGGCGGCGCGGTGGGGCGGGGCGGCGCGGGGAGTGAGGGGCGCGGAGGGGAGGCAAGGGAGGCGCGGGAGGGGCGGGAGGGGGGTAAGGCGCGGCGACCAGCGTCTGTTGGGGCCACACCCATGCCCAGGATAGCTGGCAGCGGGGCAGGAGGAGGCGGTGGGGGTGGTGCTGGTGGTGGTGGTGGTTTCAGAGTTAAGGGAGGGAGGTTTTACGGTGGGAATGGGGGTGTGTGGCATGGTGGGAGTGACAGTAGCGAGGGGGGGTTTAGTGAAGAGAGTGAGGGGAGTGCGGGGCCTGTGTCGGAGGAGGGTGACGTGTCACCCTCGTTAAGATCACCTGAGATACGAGCACGTGTGAGGATTGCGCCGTGGGTGAGAGCAGGCAGTGGGGACGGGGAGGAGGAGGAGGAGGGGAGGGAGGTGGGTGGGGAGAGGGAGGAGGGAGAGGCGGAGGAAGAGGATGGGGTGGCGCTGCTGCTGGAGATGGCGCAGGTGGTGGCACGGGAGAGTGCAGGCGAGGGGGGAGGCGAGGGGGGAGGCGAGGATGGAGGGGGAGAAGCTGAGGGGAGGGCGCAAGGGGGTGAGGATGCGGAGGGGGAGGGGGTGAATTGGGGCAGTAGGGAGGAGGTGGAGGAGAGCAGTGGAAGCGTAGGCGATGGAGCAGGGCTAGGCATGGCAAGGACGGCAGCAGGGCTAGGCATGGCAAGGACGGCAGCAGGCACGGGGACGGGAGCAGGCACGGGGACGGGAACAGGCATGGGGACGGGAACAGGCACGGGGACGGGAACAGGCACGGGGACGGGAACTCTGGAGGAGGGTGCTGGGTCTGCTGTGAAGGGCAAGCGGTCGGAGGGGCGCGGATTCACAGAAAAATTGGAGGGGCGGGTGAGGAGGGGCGGATCAAGTGGTGATGGGGAGGGGCTGGGACTGGAGGTGGGTGAGGGAACGGGGGTGGAGGGGGGAGTGGAAAAGAGGGAGGAGGTTGCGGGTGTTGAGGCGTGTAGTGTTGAAGTGAGAAAGGGTGGCACGGGAGCGTCTGGGGTGAGAGCAGGCGCAGAATCAGGAGCAGCAGCATCGGGAGGTGGGGCAGCAGGTGGGGAGAGTGCACTGACAGGAGGGGGGAGTGCGATGACGGGAAGTGTGATGACAGGAAGTGCAATGACGGGGGAGAGTGGGCGGTGTGCGGAGAGGCGGGTGGAGGAGTTGGAGGAGGCGCTGAGTGCCATGCTGGGTCAGGTGGAGGCATGGCGCGGCAAGGCGGAGCGGCAGCAGCAGGAGGCCCACGCGCTGAGAGACACTGTGAGGCGGCTGGAGGCACAAGTGGACGGCACTCAGACTCACCAGCAGCGCGCTCTTGACCCCGCTGCTGCTGCTCCGCTTGCCGCTTCCGCTGCTCCTCCTGCTGCCGCTTATCCTGCCGCTTCTGCTTCTGCTGAGTCTGTGGCTGGACGGGTGGATGCTGCTGCTGCTGCTGCTGCTGCTGCTGCTGCTGCTGCTGCTGCTGCTGCAGAAGGTGGGAACCCTGGCAGTGCTACAGGGAGAGGTGAATCCGAGGCGGGAGAATCAGGGGAAGGGGAGCCAGAGGCAGCGAGTGTGCGGGTGAAGATCCTGAACCTGGAGCTGATGAACAAGAACAAGCGCATTGCGGCATTAGAGGGCCGCCTGCAGGCCAGCAAGGCGGCTGTCTCTCAGATCGCCCGCAGCTACCACGAGCTGGACGCTGCTCGGGAGGAGGCTGATGAGTGCAGGCGAAGGTTGGGTGAGGTGGAGAAGGAGTGGCGGGGGAAGGTGGCGGAAGCGGAGGAGGAGAAGGAGGTGTATAGAGAGAGGATGGTGGAGTTGCAGCAGTACTGGCGGGAGTCGAAACGGGCGGCGGAGGAGTGGGAGGCTGCTGCTGATGAGGAGAGGGAGAGGGCGGATGAGGAGAGGGAGAGGGCGGATGAGGAGAGGGAGAAGGTGAGGGGGTTGGAGAGGGAGGTGAGGGAGGAGAGGGAGAAGGTGGCGAGTCTGCTGCGCGCTGTGGTGGAGAAGGAGGAGCGGTTGTATGCGTTTGCAGCCAATAGTGAGCAGCAGATGAGGGGGTTGAGAGAGGAGATGGAGGAGTTGAGAGGGGTGGCGCGGGAGAAGGAGGAGGAGATGGAGGGGGTGAGGCGGGACTGGCAGCAGGTGTTGGTTGGGTGGGAGGAGGAGGAGGAGGAGAGGAGGAGAGAGCATGAGAGGGAGAAAGGAAGGCTGGAGGAACAGTTGGAGAGAGCGAGGGAGAGAGAGGAGGGATTGAGAGAGGAGGTGGAGCGGGGGAGGTGTGAACTGGGGGAGGTGCAACTGGAGGTGGAGCGAGTGGGTGGGGAGTGTGAGAGGGCAGTGGAAGCAGCGCAGCAAGCGGAGAGGGGGAGGAGAGAGGCGGAGGGGGAGCTAGAGCGAGCGAGGGAGGAGGTGAGTAAGCTGAATGTGATTGTAACGAGTCTGGAGAAGGAGGTAGAGGCGCAGCAACAGCAATTGGACGCTCTGGAAAAGGAGAAGGCGGAGGGTGGCGGGGGGGAGCGGGAGCAGGGGGAGTGGGAGGGGAAGAAGGGGGGACGAGGGGTGGAGTGGGGGACGGGAGAGTTGTGTGCGGGCGAAGACTGGCAGGAGGTGGTGGAGCGAGCAGCAGCGGAGATGGAGCGAGTTTGTAAGGCGTTAGGGGAGGAGCTGGATGCGGTGGAGAGGGATAGGGCGTGGTGGCGGCAAGTGGGTGATGCGCTGTGGTGTGCGGGCAACAGCAGGGCGGGCGAAGGTGTGACCAAGGATGCAGGTACAGGTGCGGGTGTCAGTGGCAGGGGCAGTGCGACTGCCAGTAGCACCACCAGTGGTGGTGCAGATGCTGGGGGGAACGCAGGGGAGGCTGCGGCGCTGCAGCTGCTGAGTTGCTCCCAGGCCTTGAAACGCCTGAGTGACTCTGGCATGGCGGGGGATGCAGGTGGTGACAGCAGGCAGGAAGGAGCAGATGTGGCAGAGCGGTTGGAAGGGATAGAGAGGAGTGAAGAGAGGGTGGCGAGGGAGAGGCAGGAGTGGGATGCAGCAGCTGTGGCAGCAGAAAGCCAGCAGCACCGGCTGAGTCAGCTTAGAGAAACGCTGACTCAGCGGCTGCGCTCTGTGTCGACAGCTGTCAGCCAGCTGAGGAAGCGCCGGCGCCAGCTGGCTTGCGAAGTGGCATGCCAGCTGGGCAAGGCTGGTGACGTGGCAGGGGCAGCGGTGGGGAGTGTGGTGGGGGAGGGTGTACACGTGGCAGTGTTAGAGGAAGCGGTGAGAGGCATGGAGGAGGCTTGGGGGGAGGAGAGAGCAGCCAGGCTGGAGCAGGCCTCCCAGCTTCGGCAGTACTTGGCTGATCTGGCCGAGGCTCGGAAGGCCCTGGAAGAGGCTCGGCGAGAGGCCCGGCAAGGGGTGAGGTTGGCTGGGGAAGGGGAGGAAGGGAGGAAGGGTGTGGGGGTGGTGGGTGCGGGAAGAGTGTTGATGGGGGAGGAAGTGAGGTGTGAGGGTGGAGAAGAGGGGAGGGAGGAGGAGGTGTTGGGTCTGCAGCTGCAGCTGCTGGTGATGCAGTTGACACTGGAAGCAGCAGAGGAGAGGCTGGGGAGGAGAGGTGATGATGGAAGGACGGGTGAGAGGAGAGTGGGGAGAGCGGCGGCTGATGGGAGGGGCGAGGGAGGCGAGGAGAGGGTGGGAGAAGATCGGAGGGGGGATGAACAGGAATGGAGGGAGGGTGGTGGATGGGGGGAGGAGAAGCGGGAGGGCACGGCGGGGTGGGAGAAGGAGGCGAGGGCGCGGGACCTGGAGTCGTTCATTGTGCTGCAGGCGCTGCAGCAGACGGAGGAAGATGCGGCCGCGCGAGCACGCAGCAGCGATAAGGGAGGGGCAGCAGGCAGGGCGCGTGCACAACTGTGCGGGCAGAAAGAGGAATTCAAGGGGGCAATGGCTGGGACGAGGGAGCAGGAGGAGGAGGAGGCGGATGCAGTGAGGAGAGCGCTGGGGTGCTGTGAGCTTCAGCTGCTGGTGGCGAGTGAAGCAGTGGTGCAGGGCGAGGGATGGGGCGAGGCGGTGAGAAGGGAGCTGGTGAGAGAGAGGCGGCGGAGGGAGGAGGAGAGGCGGGAGGCGGAGGAGTGGAGTGAGATGCTGGAGGAGCAGCGCCGGGTGGCTGAGGTGGCGGCGGCGAGGGAGAGGGAGGAGCTGGTGGGGGAGCGGGAGGAGCTGCAGATGAGAGTGGGGGAGCTGGAGGAAGAGGTGGGGTTGAAGGGCGAGGAGGTGGGGCGCCTGCAAGGAGAGGTGGCTGAGCTGCGAGAGCACAAGCGAGTGCTTTACGGGCAGGTGAACGGGTTTCTGGGGCAGGTGGAGGAGATGCACGGGCAGATTGAGGACTTACAAGGGCAGGTGAACGGGCTGCAGGGGCAGGTTGAGGAGTGGCAAGGGCAGGCGAGTGGGTTGCATGAGCAGGTGCAGGCAGGGCAGCAGGCGATGGTTTGGGAGCAGCAGCGCGGGGAGGAGAAGGTGAGAGCAGCGGAGGAGAGGGTGAGAGCCGCACTGCAGACGCTAGAGGAGACCAGAAGGGCAGCTGCCAGTGCTGCTGCACATGCCGCTGCTGCCCTGGCAGAGCGGGAGAGGCAGGCAGGGGAGGAGAGGGAGCAGTGGCGGCAGGAGGTGGCACGCATGGAAGGGGAGGTGGCACGGGTGGGGAGGGAGGTGGAGCGGGTGATGGGGGAGAGGGAGCGGGCGGAGAGGGAGGCGGAGGGGGAGAGGAGGAGGAGGGGCGGGGCGGAGGAGAAGCTAAAGGAGATTGAGAGCCGCCTCAAGCTGCAGCTCGCCTGGCCCTCCTCTCCTCCCCTCTTCGCCCAACCCACTGTTGTTGCCGGTGCTGCTGCTACTGCCACTGCTTCTGCCACTGCCGCTGCCGCTGCTGCAGCAGGTGGAGCTGGTTCTGCTGCCAATCCCTCCGCCTCGCCTTCCTCTGCGGCGGCGTTCTTCACAGCACAGGGGGTGGGCGGGCGAGGGCAGGCGGTAGGGGAACCGGGCAGCGTGCAGAAGAACCTGATGTGGGCGCTGGACCAGGCAGGGGTGGCGGAGGGGGAGAGGGAGGGCAGGGAGGGGAGTAGGCACCTGGCAGGTGCCAGTGGCGCTCTGGTGCTGCATCAGGGGGCACCTGAAGAAACACCTGGAGGGGCAGGTGGAGGAACGCCAGCGTATACACCCAGCGGTGCCATGACACCGGCGTATTTCACACCGTCTGCAGTCACTCCCGCTACAGCTGCCATGCCAGCAGGGACCGGCAGGCACGGGCAGCTACAGCCGTGGTCGCCTGCCTCTAGCGTGGCGTCTCCAGGCGACACTCCCTTCCGGTCAGTCTGCACTATATTCTGGTCAGTGTGCAGTCTCAATGTTGAGTCGTGCTGTTCAGTGAAGATCTGGTGGGTGTATTGCAGTCCTTGCCATGCCAGGTTTAGACAGATGCACGCCCATCAGTTGTGATTTGAGAATTCTAACAAAAGAGCTGCGCCCATTAGTTGGACAATCACAGTGAGTTGCCATCTCAGCGTGTACTTCCTCTGTCACTCAATCTGAGCATGTGTGAACATATGCGTCTAAATAAGATCAATCCAACCTTCTCTTTCCACTTTCTGTCTCCCTATCTTCCCCGTTCCCCTCTCCCTCCCCATCCCTCCCCCTCCATCCCCTTCCTCCCCTCCCCACCTCTTCGTTTCCTCCGCTTTCCCATACCTCCCTCTCTCCCGCGGCCACCCCTCTGCCTCTCTCCCGGCCTGCTGCAAGTGCTGGAGGAGCGGTGGCGGCAGCAGCAGCAGGCGGTGGGGGTGACAATGAGCATTATGAGTCGCGCAGAGGCAACTGATTGAGGTGCCTCAAACGTCCTCCCTTCCAACCCCCCTTCACCCTTACCTTCCAGGCTCTTGCAAGCAGCGGAGGAGAAGTGGCGGCGGCAGCAGGAGGCGGCGGGGGTGGCGATGGCGAACCTAGGGCGGGCGGAGAGGGAGGTGCAGCTGCTGGGGGACGAGGTGGACGCGCTGAGCGAGGTGGTGGAGGAGGCTGCTGTCCGGCTGGCGCACCATGCGCCCATGCTGCGAGGGCTTCCGGGGGTGAGTGGGGGGGATGGGCACATTGAGCGAGTCAGGTGGCAGCAAATCATACAAGTCGTGGGTTTCCCTGCTCCCGTGCGTCTCCCTTCTGCCCCCGCCCCTCCCCCCTCTTCTCCCTTCCTGATGCTACCATCATTCTCCCTCCCATGCTCCCATGCTCCCATGCTCCCATGCTCCCATATTCCTGTATGCAGGCCCTCAGATTGGGGGCCTGCCTGTATGCCATGGCTGTCTGTCAGATGTTGGAGCTGGTGGAAGCCATGATTTCTGCTGCTCTCATTTTGATCGCGTCCCCTCTCCTCCCTTCTCCCCCTCCCGCATCCCCTCTTTCTTCCCGCCTGTGTCTTCCTCATTGCATTGTCAGATGTTGGAGCTGGTGGAAGCCATGAAGGCTGCTGCTCTCAGGCGAGCATGAAGCATCATGTGCTCACTGCTCACTGCTCACTGCTCACTGCAGCTGCATGGATTCATTTGTAGGGAGGAAGGAACTTGCTGTTACTTGATGCAGATGCAAGCATGTGTAATGGACTGAGAACTAATTCAATTTGACTCCTTGTGTTGGAATAACCTAAAGGTTATAGTAACATTCCCGAAGGCTCTCCACTCGCGCGTCACTCCATAACGAAGCTACGCGCGTGTATTATTATCGCGATAGCTCATATAGAGCATGCGGAAGATCGAGAGTCACCAGAAGGTCAATAGTCGAAGACAGTCAACGGTCGTGACCCTTGACTGCCCAGTAACCGCACTTGGAAGTTACGCGATGCAACATGGTAACTGTAAAGAATAGCAATAGTCGTGGTTACTGTAGCAATGCAATTCAGTTAATAAGGGAATGTACTCCTCAAAGTACATGGCTAGCTAGGATTGCTATTTATATCTTTGTACCACTATCATTTAATTATCTTATTCTCTTTCAACTTATTAACAAGGTCATTACGAAGACTTCATTGTCTTCTCTCAAACTTGACAGACTTATCCTATCCACTACGATCCTTCACTTATAACAACATGGTATGAGAGCTAGAGTGGACTATAAGGCCTGTTAAAACTGTTGTTCTTTCTAAAACAACTTTTTTATAAATTACTCGCTAAACTATCACAAACTCTGCATCTTTATGGCTCTAGAAGGAAAAGCCACTGCAGATTCTCCGGGCCCACCACCAGCAACACCTACTGCACCATCAGCGGTGACCTCCGTCAGCGCCGCACTCGTTGATCAGCTGGTCGCTCGCATCAACGCTCTTGAGAGCCATCAAGCTATGAGCATCGATGGCTCAAGCTACGCACGTGGAATTGCTGGACTCCCTCTCCCAGGAGAAGACTGTCGCGTCAACTCCGAGAGGTCATTTACCTTTGACAACCCGTCAAGCTTCAGCTCCTGCGCAAGACAGTCAACATCGCACACAGTCAGAAACAATTGCGACAATGCAAACAAAGTTCGTTATGACTTCAAAGATGAAGACATTAGTTCCCTTCGACCGCAAGGACTTCTACACGTGGAGCTTCGAGTTCGAGCTCCTCGCGACATCTGCGCAAATCTGAATGTACTACGATGGAAGCTTACAGTTTCCGACGGAAGGCACCATCCAAGAGAAGAACCAGTACTACCATAAGTCTCTTCTCGCGTACACCACTCTTCTCGGAAACCTCTCCCCCTCCGAGCAACTTACCATTCGCTCCTACAAGTCAGAGTGGGCACCTGCGTACGCTTCTTGGGAGCACCTGCGCAACTCATACATGGCAACAGATCCCGTTACAATGAGTCGCATACTCATGTCAGAAGAATGAACGAGGATGCATGCATTGAACAGAAATTGGGTACAAGTATTTACCCTAATTGGGTTGTAACCCTTATGGGCTACCCCACTATAGCCTACACAAAATAATCTATATAACATTTTGACACACCCCCATAGGCAAAGTGGGGGAGAACAAGTGGTCACAAGACCAGTCAAGAAAAGCAAAGCAAGCTCAGGGTGGATCACAAAGTCACCACACAGTCTGAGCACAAGCAAAGGCCACAAGGCCAGTTCACATGCAGAGTTATATAAAAGAGAACAAACAGTACAGTGATCATAGCCTAACAAGTGTAAGCATGCAGGTATATATATAGATCACAGTACAAGCAAAGTCACACAGTGAGCAAGTGAGGCAAAATAGGCACAAGGCCTGACACAGTACAGAAACGCTGATGATCACCAGACTGAAGTGCCTTGGTGAATATATCAGTAGTGTTGGCCCTAGTGGCCACGTAAGCAAGACGAAGCTGACCACGCTGCTGCAACTCTCGAGCAAGGAAGTAACGCAGAGCGATGTGCTTTGTTCTGTGCTCCAGTCTGTGCTCCTGACACAAGGCAATCATGGCCTTGTTGTCTAAGTACAGAACTGGAGATGAACGAGGCCGCTCTCCCAAGTCGGTCAGCAGGTAGGTGAGCCAGCGTAACTCCTGTGCGGCCATGGCCCCTGCGTAGATCTCAGCCTCACAACTGGAACTGAGAACAGAAGACGAGCGGGTAGACCGCCAAGAAGCAGAGTCGGAGCCAAGGCTGAAAGTGTAACCGTGTGACGACCGCTGCATAGCCAAGTCGTCAACCCAAGAAGCATCTGCGTGTCCAGTGAGGACAACTGGACCCCGTCCTCCAAGCACGAGCCCCATGCCCGACGTACTGCACAAGTAGCGCAACACCCTCTTAGCGGCCTCCCAGTGATCTGGTCGGTGTCTCACGGGCGCAACGTAGCGTGCCAGGATGCTAAGAGGGTAGGCAAGGTCAGGTCGAGTGCAGGTCATCAGGTACATGAGGCAGCCCACAAGCTCTGGATACGGGCCACTCGGCTCTACGGACTCGTTCGAAGGTGGAGCTGAGAGCGAGTGACCGGTAGGCAGAGGAGTGGACTGTGGCGAGGAGTACCGGAAGCCGAAGAGCTGAAGGACCTGGTGCACCATGTGTGACTAAGTCAGGGTGATGGTGCGCCGTACTCTGTCCCGGGTGATCTGCAAGCCAAGATAGCTGCGCAGCTCACCCAGGTCAGTGCAGGTGTGTCTTTTCTGCAGCTCCGACTTCACAAGGGCCAGTGCCTCAGTGTCAGCAGTGGCAAAGACCAGGTCGTCGACGTACACGAGGACGTAGAACGGCGGCAGCGACGTGTCGGTGCGTAGAAACAGCGACGGGTCAGCAGTCGAATGAGCAAACCCCAGAGCCGCAAGTGTAGTCCTCAGTGTGTCGTGCCACTCGCGAGGCGCCTGGCGGAGACCGTAGACTGGCCGCCGGAGGCTCCACTGGGTACCTGCAGGAAATGACCCAGTGAAGCCAGGTGGGCGGCGCAGCCAGATATCCTTGTGCAGGCTGCCTTGTAAGAAAGCTGTGCTGAAGTCAAGTGAGTGAAGCTCGTAGTCACGCTGAGCGGCGACGTGCAGCAGTACCCGAAGAGTAGTCATCTTCGGGGTAGGGGAGAAGGTATGGAAGAAGTCAACTCCCTGTCGCTGACTGAAGCCTTGTGAAACGTAACGAGCCTTGAAGGCAGGCGGAGAACCCGGCGGCCGCTTCACCCTGAAAATCCACATGCCATCGACTATATTCGCCCAAGGAGGGGGAACTGCGTCGACGTAAGTGCTTGTGGACTTCCAGGATGCCATCTCTACGTCCATGGCTATCTTCCACTGAGAGGAGTAGGGACCCGTAATCGCCACTACGTAAGAGCGCGGGGTCGGGATGTCTGGTGCATCCGGGTCTCCCTCAAGGGCAATCAGCATGAACACGAAATGAGGTACAGCAGCTACAAAACACTCAAAGTCCTCCTGCCTGTCCTCAAAGACGTCCGTGCCAAGAGCACACTCACCCTCGACGGATGGAGGACAGTCAGACTCAGAGTCAGCAACAAGACTAGCGGCCTAGTCTAGACGACAGGCGGCAGCAAATTCAACAAGCTCAGCAACTAGGGCAGACGCAGCAGCAGACTCAAACGAAGTGTCAGTGACAACTGTGGCTAGAAGAAGAGGGAAAGTAGGAGTGGCAGCACGAACTAAGTCAGACTCAGGGTCCGGGCCGTCAGGAAGAGAGGACGCAGGAGGAGATGGCAAGGGGACACGCTGTGGAACAGAGGAAGGACGAAGTGCCATATGGTGCGTGCCGGGGACAGGAGGAGGACGCAAACAAGGAACACGACGACCAGTGCGAACAGCGCGAACAGGCGAGGCAGGACGAGACACAAGCTCACGACGCTCTGTAAGACCTCCGGTTTGCTCAGTGTAAGGATAAGGAGCACGCAGTGGGGAGGCTGGCTGTAACGGCCGCTGCGACTCGAAAGGCGGTGGACACAGTAAGGGAGGAGTAAGGCCAGTAGAAGACGGGAGACCAAGAACCTTCTGAAGCAGGGGAACGAAGTACGGTCGCGGCCATCCAGTGTCTCCACCTCCAGCACCAACAGCACCAGCATCCCCAGGGCCAGCGCCTCCAACTCCGGTGTCTCCAGCTCCAAGGTCTCCAGCTCCAACTCCTGCAGCACCACCAGCTCCAGCAGCTTTAGTACCTCCAGTACGAGCACCGCCAGAACCAGCAGCTCCAGTACCTCCAGCAGCTCTAGCTCCATGGTCTCCAGCTCCAATGCCTGCAGCACCACCAGCTCCAACAGCTCCAGTACCTCCAGTACGAGCACCTCTGGGACCGGTGGCTCGAGTACCTCCAGCAGCTCCAGCTCCAGTGCCTCCGGCTCCAACTCCTGCAGCACATCCAGCTCCAGCAGCTCTAGTACCTCCAGGACCAGCAGCTCGAGCACCTCCAGGACCCCCACCTCCAAGACTAGGAGCTGCAGTACCTCCAGCTCCAGTGCCTCCAGCGGCACAGGCTCCAGCTCCGGCAGCTCCACTCCGAAGGCGTGTGCGCCGAGCAAACCACTTGCGCAGCTGCTGCGGGGAGAGAGGCTCCGGCCGGGGAGACAGTCGTGGCGAGGCACCCGAAGGACCTCCAGAAGAAGCAGTACCCCTCAGCTCAGCACCCCCAGACTCCGCACCCTCAGATTCCGCACCCTCAGGCTCAGCACCCCCAGGCTCCGCACCCGCAGGCTCAGTACCCCCAGGCTCTGCACCCCAAAGCTCAGCACCCCCAGACCCCGCACCCTCAGACTCAGTACCCCCAGGCTCCGCACCCGCAGGCTCAGCACCCCAAGACGCAGTACCTCCAGACGCAGCACATCTAGCAGCACCTAAGTCTACAGCGACCTCAACAGACACAGTATCAGGGAGTGGGTCTACCTGAGACACACCTGAGGGAGCAGGACCCTGAAGGGGGAGGGGGTCTACCGGAGGGGGACCAGGAGCAAGGAAGAGCGGTGGGGACAGGAGAGGGGCAGAGTGGTAGGGGAAGAGATGGTAAAAGGGAACCGACTCGTCAAACGTGACGTCCTGAGAGGGGAGGA